TGCTCAGTCACAGACATCTCAGAGCTTTATTACTATATTATCAGAGATCTGAATTAAACTGTGAGAGTTCAGTATAAACTGTGTAATCTCTAGAAGATTCAACACTTTCATATAATAACTGTGTGTAAGAAAGAATGAGCTTACATCTGTTAAGACAGTATCTTGATCATTGATAGCAATCTCTGTATGTAGAAGAAGATTATATCAATTATCTTATAAGTAATTACAGAACTTATAAAGATAATTCTTTACAGTCTGAATTATCTGTTCTGATGCATTATCAGTCTCAGAGTGATAAATAGTTAATAAATAGTACATAATCTTGAGAACTTGACAGATTCTTGTTCAGAGAGTGCTTATAAATTGACAGCTCTGATCTGATACTATAGATCTCAGTAATTTATATAATCAATAGAATGAGCTTCTTAGAAAAGCTTCAGTAACTTGTTCAGTATTTATCTTATCACAGAATTTTAATATAACACTCTTACTTAATCAGTTTATAATAATCAGAACATTTCTATAGTTCTTACTCTTAGAAAGATTAATAGTGAAGTCAATTATTATATCTCATCAGATTCTATTAGAAATATTAAGTGATTTCAGTAGATCTTTTCTACAGTTCTTTCACAAGATAATGAAGAAATAATAATTACAGTTTTAAATAAAATATCTGATGCTATTTAATATCTCAGATCAGTAGAACTTTTAAGAGATTATTTAATACAGTTATTCATAATCTGAATAATCAGTTATATACAAATCATGCATCTCTTGCATTATCTGAGTGTGTAAGAATTTGAAGTGAGAGACTTAATATTACTCATGAAATTATAAAGTGTTATTATTATCAATTAAGCATTCTAAGATATCAGTTCTTATATATAGTTCTGAAGAGAATCAGAGTGCTCTTTGATATACTGCTTTGATAAGTACTTGAAAAAGTTTATCAGTTTAAGCTGTTATATACTATAATTCATCTAGTGTAGATTCAGAAGAAGTTAAGATATCAGTGTCAGTGTCAGTTCAGAGAGAGAGTGTTCTAATCAGAGAAGTATGTATAGTATTATAAGTTGTTTCATCTTAATCAACTAATATCTTCAGATATAGAAGCCTGTGTTCTCTGTTCATTCAACAGATATCTGCTATATCAGAAGATATATCTTGCTCTCATTATAAGAAGATATCTATCATCAAGTTCTAACTGCTGAGACAGTAGTGTATTGTAAAATAAAAGCAGCTTAAGAACTCAGATCATTACATCTATTATTCAGTGAGTTTATAAATAGTTATGAAGTATTTGAGATTCTTATAATCTGTGATTATCTCAAATTCAGAGATACTTTAAAGTTCAGAGTCTCATTCTTCTAAACAGTGTATAATTGTAAGAAGTTTCTTATTATAGATCTTATAATTGCATTCAGTGAGACTCAGTTTCTTAGATATAAAGACATATAGTCATAGAATATCTTTATTATCATATTACAATATCACTTTTCTTTTTCTATTACATAGTCAGAGAAATCAGCTTTAATAACTATCTTACAATCAGAATTGAATATTATCAGTAGAGAGATATTAATGAATATCTTCTTCATCTGTGTAAATGCAGCTTCAGTGTTCACTGATCATTGAAATACTGAGTCTTTCTTAGTAAGATCTGTAAGTGATCTCATAATATCTGAGAAGTTTCATATAAATCACTGATAGAAGTTAGCAAATTCAATGAAGCTTTATACATCTTTCACAGTACATGAAGCTTCTCATTTAAGAATGACAGAGATTTTCTCAGAATTCATTCAAATCTGCTTACCAGCTTCTATGATGAAATCTAAGTATTTAGTACTCTTAACTTTGAAATCACACTTGTTAATATCAATTGATAGTTCTACTTCTTGTAGTTATTATAATACTTTTCATACATACTTCTAATACTCTTTTCTGAATTCATTGATAAAGATGAGAATGTTATCTAGATAAGCAGATACAAACTTATTAAGAAAATCTCAGAGTGCTTAGTTAATATACTTCTGAAATATACTGAGAGTATTAGTCAGTTCAAAGTAGACTGACTGTGTAACCGTGTCTGAAACCAGAACCAGAATTTTTAATAGTCTCATTATCAATTCGACAGATCTCATTACACGGTTCTAACATTAGATAGTAGTTTCATACTGTCTCAGTGAGACTTACTGTCTACTCTTGTCACATTTTTCAAAGAAGATCATGATTTCCACTTCTCAATTTAAATTATTTTTATTGCTTTAAATGACTTTAAATCTCATTTGAGTGTTACCAAAAAGTGTTACTTTTTAAAAAATTAAAAATAGTCTAAAAAAAACCTTAAAATGTCTAAAAATAGTAACTTTATGCTAAGAATGAAACTAAATGAAATCAAATGAGATCACTTTCTCATTTTTTTCAAGTCATGATTTCATTTTGAGATCTGATATATAGTCACTTTGCATGTTTATTTAATAATTAGTTCCAGCAGAATTCACACCAAGAAATGTATGAGATCAGATTAAATAGAATCAAACGTGAAATTCATGATCTCAGCGGCCAGTCTAGTTCAAAGAGTGTGACTATTTATTCAAAGAGATTATAATATGTTTAGAATACTGTAAGCTATTCATCTTCTTCAGTGATACAAATCTTATAAAACATAGTGATGACATCTAGCTTTATAAATTATTGAGCTCACTTAATCTGTACTAGAGTTTAGACTGGCCGCTGAAATCATGAATTTCATATTTAGTCTCATTTAATCTGATCTCATACATTTCTTGATGTGAATTCTACTGAGACTAATTATTAAAAAAACATACAAAGTAACTATATATCAGATCTCAAAATGAGATCATGACTTAGAAAAAATAAGAAAATGATCTCATTTAATTTCATTTAGTCTCATTCTTAGTATAAAGTTACTATTTTTAGATATTTTAAGGTTTTTTTGAACTATTTTTAATTTTTTAAAAAGTAATGCTTTTTGATAACACTCAAATGAGATTTAAAGTCATTTAAAGTAATAAAAATAATTTAAATTGAGAATTGAAAATCATGATCTCATTTGGAAAATATAATAAGAGTAGACAGTAAGTCTCACTGAGACAGTATGAGACTACTATCTAATGTTAAAACAGTGTAATAAGATCAGTTGAATTGATAATGAAACTATGATAAGCTGCGCCTGATCAATCATATAGACTATTTCATTACACTTCATAGATTCTTCTGTTTCACTCTTAAACACATACACTCTGATTCTCAGCCATTTCCGATCACCAATCCTCGGCCGCTATAAACATGTGTATATTCTTCTGCTCTGAAGCTCCACCGCATACACTATCACATACACATATAAATATTCATCTCAATCACTGATTCTCACACTTTCTCTTTCTTTTCTTCTCTAATGTTTTTATCTTTGTTATATAAGATCTATCAATATCACACTGATCTATTCAGTGTAGATCTTTTACACTATAAAAATATTCATTATCTTCTTATTAGAAAATGATTATTTATACATTATCTTCTTATTAGAAATGATTATTCATGTAAGAAATCCCACTTCTCGCGGATTCTTTACCTCTATTTCTATCTCTCATGTAATTAATAGAGCTAGCAGCTCTTGACTACACACAACTATATAGACTGAAGTTTGTGAATACTATTTATAACTCAGCTTAAATACTATTATATATTTAATCTCTACATTTTATCTTTCTACTGTGAATACTTCTATTAGTTAACAGTATATATCATGTTAAGCTGCAAACATCTGAATAATTGTCTGTGAGCACTTATTCTTATATTTCAAGCTCAATCAGTCAGCAACTGTCTATTATAACTGAAAGAACTAGAAACTTATATACTTCAATTTCTGTGAACTCTACTATAGATACTCAGAAGCAGTTATCTGAATTATGAATAATCTTTATAAAAGAAGTCTCAGAGAACTTATTAATCACTTATAGAATATTATTCTCTACATCTATAATAGAGAAATTCTCTGAATTCATGAATAAATCAATCTCAGTGAAGAACATTCTTAAGCATCTTCTGCAGAATTAAGCTATTTTTCTATAAGAAATACTTACTATCTGTAAACATTCTTGAACTGAGTCTCTAGACATAATCTTCAGAGATACTTATAAACTGAAAAGAAACTTTCTTAAGCTATGATCACTTAAGATCACTTATTGAATCACAATCTATAAAAGCTTTTATAAGTTTGTATTTGAAATTGACTCACAAGCTCAGCTATATAATATAAAAGATGAAGAAGCTGTTATCTATGTAATAACAGATCTCTATTACACTGAAGTCAAGAACTGATTAAATTATTTAGAGAATAATTATGAGAGATTCTACTGATCTGTTCTTAAGACCTATTTAGATAATAAGTTAAAGAACTCTGTAAGCTGAACAGAGAATATCTAAGCTGTAATTATTAATATTAGAAAAAGAGATGAGAAATCTGATAAAGACTACTCACAGTGCTTCATAGAATTATAATATAAATTAAGATCTGTGAAAACAGGGCTCTGAAACAAGATCTGAATGATGATATTTATAAAGAGACTGAATAAAGACATGCAGAACAAGCTCATTGAGCAAGGCTCTAAGCTCTTAACTCTGAAGAAACTGATGACTCTTATTCACTGCTTACATATCACTGTGAGAGCTATGTTGGAGCTACTACACAAGCCCTAACCCACGTGACCCACACACATATATTTAGCTTCCACTAGCTACTAGTTAGATAACAACAACCAACCACGTTCAACCTCTCTCACAGGTTATGAAGCCCTTGCACTTCTATGAAGCGTTATAACCATGCAATAATCATACAATAAGCTTTTCAAATAGCTGCTTCTTTCATTCAAATACCCCATATCAAATGCCTGTCAATACGAGATCGATCAACAGTGAAGAGATCCCAGAGAATCAGATAGCTGGATCCTTTCCAACATCAATAACCGCGCGAAGACAACGAGAATAATCAAGCCCAAGATAATCCTCCAGAACGCGAAGATATGGAAGATCATGATGAACCAAGCTGCTGGTTTGAACACCCAGAGAAACGACCTGCGGATTGGAAGAATAGAAAGAAGGTCAATGATGATGATGCCGCTACACCTGTATGCTACAATACTGAGCAAGTCTTCTAATGATGCTCATGATGACCGCCAATATCGACGCCAAAACGATGGAAATACCGATAACGATGCCAGGCCACAGTGCCTATATGATGCCAGGCCACAGTGCCTACGATGCCAGGCCCCAGTGCCTATATGATGCCAGGCCCCAGTGCCTATATGATGCCAGGCCACAGTGCCTATATGATGCCAGGCCACAGTGCCTACGATGCCAGGCCCCAGTGCCTATATGATGCCAGGCCCCAGTGCCTATATGATGCCAGGCCCCAGTGCCTATATGATGCCAGGCCCCAGTGCCTATATGATGCCAGGCCACAGTGCCTATATGATGCCAGGCCCCAGTGCCTACGATGCCAGGCCCCAGTGCCTATATGATGCCAGGCCCCAGTGCCTACGATGCCAGGCCCCAGTGCCTATATGATGCCAGGCCCCAGTGCCTACGATGCCAGGCCCCAGTGCCTATATGATGCCAGGCCACAGTGCCTACGATGCCAGGCCCCAGTGCCTATATGATGCCGGGCCACCGATTGCCCATATGATGACCTATGCTGATGACCTATGCCGATGACCTATGCCGATGACCTATGCCTATGACGATGAAAACCACAAAAATAATAAGAATGAGATCCCGCGGCGTTAGAACAACTGGGGGTAATACCAATACTGAAAGAATGGATTTGAGCGTTCTTCTTGCATGTTTTTTATGTTTTTCATGTATGGAGCTAGTCCTTATGAGGAAACTAGACTCTACTTTTTGTAATTAATTTTTATTGCAGATTTGAATGATTTGAGCGCTTTTGACTGCGTGGATTAACTGGCCTGCGTAGCATGGGAGGGTGTTGGAGCTACTACACAAGCCCTAACCCACGTGACCCACACACATATATTTAGCTTCCACTAGCTACTAGTTAGATAACAACAACCAACCACGTTCAACCTCTCTCACAAGCTACAGACTCACAGAGAGTGAATCACTGACTGATCTCATAAGAGTCAGAACAACAGAGAACAGATTTGTCAGAAAAAGATGATAAGACACAGAGAGATTTATGTCTGACTGCTGAGCAGAGAGAAAGAGCTTCACAAGCTTCTGTAAACAGAGTACATAACAGAGAGATTAAGAAAAAGAGACTCTGCTTTATCTGTTCTAAATCAGAATATCTTCACATAAACTGTTCAGATAAATTAAAATAGAAATTTGAGAAATTATAAATAGAGTTAGTAACAGCCTTCTTAAGAGTCTTAAAGCTGATATCTGAATCTGTTACTTTCTCAATAAAAATACTTACTTATGAGAAGAGACTATGCTACAGTACTACTATCTTATAAGTATAAGAAGTATTAATAAACTCAGAATTTCAGATCACTGTAATATTTCTAAAGCTTACAGAGTGAATGAGTTGAAAGATAAAGACTGAGAATCTACTCTTATAATAAGCAGAGTATAAGAACTCAGATCTGAGAACTGAGAAATTTATAAGAGTTATCTTTGAATTACAAGATCTCTCTGAAATCTGAAGAAAATTTACAGAAACTGTGATTATTATAAATATTACAGATAATATATACTTAAGACTTATATAACTTTAAAGATATAATCTGTATATAGCTGTTTATAAGTTAGATTTATACTTCTAATCAGTGTTAACAGACTCACTTATAAAGATAGAATTAATTAATACTATAGAGTTAATTAGAGAAGATAAGCTTATCTATATAATAACTTTATAAGTGTCTGAGAATCTCATGATCATGAAAACTGAGCTTTAGATATTAAAGAAATATCAAGATCTTACAGAGATATTCAGCTTAGTAAAGATAGCTAAGCTTTCTTCTCACTATAAAAAGAATCTAATAATAGATTTAATAGAAGAGTAGAAACTCTTCTGAGAATTAATCTATAAACTCTCTTATTATAAAACAGAGACTTTGTAAACCTATATAAAGAAGAATCTGAAGAATAGCTTTATCTAATCTTCACAGTTCTTCATAGAAGCCTCTGTAATATTTATAAAGAAGAAGAATAAAGATCTCAGATTATATATAGATTATTATAATCTGAACTTTAAGATAATAAAGAGCTGCTATCTTCTATCTCTGATTGAGAATGTAATTAATTATCTTATAGAAGCTGTTATATTCACATAACTGAATGTAATTAATATATATACACAGCTGTGAATATAGTCTGAGAATGAATAAAAGACTGTCTTTAGAACTGTACTGAGATTATTTAAATATTTAGTAATGTCTTTTAATCTGACTAATATCTCTGCAGTATTTCAGTCTTTTATTAATAAAATACTTTATACATATCTGAATATCTTTGTAATAATATATCTGAATAATATGATAATATACTTCATGAAGAAGAAAGAACATATTGAGTATATGTAAAGTGTATTAAAGATCTTAGATAAGACAGAACTATATATTAAACTTATAAAGTATAACTTCAGTGTCTATTAAATTAATTTTCTAGAATATATAATCACTGTAGATAATATTCAGATAAAATCTTTATAAGTTAAGACTATTCTATTATAGTCAGAGTTAACTAGTATTTATGAGATTCAGATCTTTCTGAGCTTTATAAATTTCTATAGACAGTTTATCTTTATATTCATAAGAATCTTCTTAACTCTTATAGACATGCTGAAGAATAAAAATAAGAAAAAGTCATTCTATAAATAGAGAATGAAAAGATTATTAAGAAGAAAGAACTGTAAGAACTTTCTTATCTCAGAAGCTTATAAGATCTTTATAAGATTGAAAAGATATTTATAGATACAGTGATACTGTTTCACTTTAATCTCTTACTCTTAATCAGATTGAAGACAGATATCTTTTTCTTTATAATTTTAGAAATAGTCTTACAACTACAGTTAAATAAGAACTGAGTTTCAGTGATCTTTTTCTCATAAAAGATACAATCTGTAGAGATCAACTATAACATTTATAATTAGAAGCTTCTTATAATAGTGAAATTTTTCTATTACTAATATCACTACTTTGAGAGTCTTATAATAGTGATTACTATTAGAACTAATTATAACAGCTTATAATAGTTTACTTCAATCAAGAAACTCTTGCAGTAGCAGGTTCACTGAGCTCAGAGACTGAGTGAGTTCTGATTCAAGATAGAATATATTAAGAGAACTAAGAACTCAGCAGACAGACTCTCTTATAGATCAGACTATATTAAGAAGATCAGAGTGACAGATACAGAGAGACTAGAGAAGATAGAAAAGCTTTATAAGATGCTCAGACTGAGTATTGTGAAGAGATTGACTGAAGAGTCTCTCAATCTCTTAAAAGAAAAGAAGAAAGAGAAAGAAAAGAAGCCTGTACAACTACTCTCTACAACACTAAGAGTCAACACTCTGAAAATCTTTACAAGAATTCTTGAAGAGAGTATCTATAATCTGAAGAGTTTACAGACTTTGAGAAGTACTGTAGAAGATTGAATGTAAGAGAAAACAGAGTATAAGTCTTTATAAAATCTTCTATTCAGATTATCTGAACTGTAACTGAAGAATGAATATACTCAGTATATTCAGAAACTGCTCACAGCAGAGATTAATTCTACAGAAATAAAGAATTAAAGAGACTTAAATAGTCTCTTATAAAGAGAGAGCTGAATTTATATATCTGTGAATAAGTTTCTATATATAGAACTCATTAAAAGATATTATAACTCTTCTTTAGTGAGTCATTTTACAGATACTAGAACTTATGAGTTGCTTATAAGAAAATACTTCTGATTGAAGATGTGAGAACTTATGAAGAAGATAGTGAATTCTTATACTATTTATCAGAATTCATGAGTAGTGTGATTCAGATTATATAAAGAACTTACTTCTCTACTTATTCTGCAGAAACCTTGAAAATAGCTAGAAATAAATACTCTTATAAATCTCTCAGAAAGTAAGAACATATATAATATCTGTTTTAACAGTGTGCTGATATTAGTGAATTACTTTATTAAAATGACACACTTTATACTCATCTATAAGGACTTAAAGTCAAAGGATTTGACTCATATCTTTATTTATAATATGATTCAGTTGCATGAATTATCTATAAACATTATCTCAGATAGAGAATTAATCTTTATAGAAGAGTTCTGATCTGATCTGATAACTATACTAAAGATCTTATGAGATTTAAGCATAGCTTTTTATTAACAGATAGACAGTCAGATAGAACATCTGATAAGTATATTAAAACAGTATCTGTGATACTTTGTCAATTATAATCAGAATAACTGAGTGTATTGATTACTACTTATGAAGTTTATATATAATAACTTAAAGTATATCAGTATAGATAAAACTCTCTTTGAGATACTCACTGAGACTTATTTATGAATAATCTTGATGAACTTATAAGAGTATACTATAGAGTGTGATAATATCTGTGAACAGACTGAGAGAATTCAGAAGATCTGAGAGAAAGCTCATGAATTATTAAGAAAGACTTAAGAGTATCAGAAGAGATACTATGACTTTAAGTATATTATAAAAAGTTTCAAGAAAGATAATAGAGTCTGACTAAGTTTAGAAAATATTATTATACAGAGATCTAGTAAGAAGCTGAATCTCTTACAGACAGAGTCTTATAAGATTATGAAGAAAGTTAACTTACAGTTCTATAGATTGAAACTGTCACCTGAGTTATAGATATATAATGTTTTTCATATCTCTTTACTCTATAAATATAAGAAATTCTTAGAAGAGAACTCTGTGACTCATCACTCTATTTATAAAGTACTAAAGAGTGAAAGAGAATATCAGATCAAAGAGATTATTAACTCAGAGAAGCAAGATTATAAGCTCTGATTCAAGATTCAGTGATAAGAGTATTCTGATAAGATAGATAAGTTCACTTGAAAATCATCTGAGTAGATAAGATATCTGTAGAAGCTGAGATATGACTTTTATACTGTAAATTCTGATAAGTCAGAATAATACAGTCTTTGCTAAGAATCTGATTGTAATAAAGATATTAACACTGTCATTTACAAACTCTAGTCTATAAGATAATGAGTTTCTACTGAAATAAACAGTCTGCAGTGTATATAAGAAAAGAAGAAATCATATTCTTATTAAAGTTAAAAAACAGAAAATAAATAGAGCTGTGAACACAATTTAGAGACTAATAAAGAAAAAATAAAGAAAACTCATACTTATACTCTTAATATCTGTAACACTCAATTCTCTCATAACTATTAATTTTCTTCTTTAAAGAAGCAGAGAGTATTATATCTGTGATACAGATAATTGTTACATTTAATATAAAGACTATCAGAAATGCACAGACTTCAGAGAAGTCAGACATCAGAGTATACAGAGTTATAACAGAATCTTAAGAACTGACTGTCTATATATATGATCAGATATCTCTTACAAAGCTGTGTTCACTCTCTCAGTTATACTGAAGTATTCAGCCTGAAAATAATTGAGATATAGAGAGAGAGCTCATCTACTCAGATTAACTTCTGTCATGAATTCATGACATTTGCATTACCTTGATTACCTGGATTTTACAGGTACTCAGAGACTCATC